AATTATTGGATGATTTTATATCCAGACTCTATATTCGATGTACTACGTACATTAGGTTTTCATAAAGAACAGTAGATTATCATGGGGATTTATTTGAGAGGGTGTGCTTTTTATACACATGGTTGTTAACTGTCACAAACATATAGACTTTCTTTTTGCTGAAAGGCCTATGACAATGTTAAATTAGTTAAATTATTGAGAGGGGGGAGTTGGGGAGGGGGGTTCAAACAGGGGGGTCATAATTATATAGTGCAGATAAATTTTTTGCAATTATGCATAATATATATATATAATAAATAAAATTTCTTTTTTTATTGCCAATGTTGTGTGGTTTCATTTTACTATGACTTACCTCATCAGGAAACTTAACACATACCATCCCCCCCTTCACTGCCTCAAGGAGGGTCTGTATCTGTTTTTCTTTCTTTTTCCCCAAAAATGCAGGCTGACCCAAAGACTTCAAAATTTTACCCAGTTCCTTCCCTTGAAGGTTTCCCAATATATGTTCTTGTTCAGAGGGGGGCAAAGTTTTCAGATGGAGTAAAAACACGTCTAAAGAAGAACTGTCAAAATTGGTTCTCAAGGTTTGTATATGATGGTCCGTTGTCGTCTGAGTGGAAGATATTGTAGAACATTTTTTATTTGGTCGTCTGATTTGCTGTCGCAGAGCTACACTAGTTTTGTTGGGTTTAAGGCCTTCTTTTTCCCGAATTATTTGTTGTTTGGATTTCATGAAAAAAGTAACGATTCTTTGCAACACAACAACTGATGTTCGTATATCCGAATTTGGTGTCAGTTCATCCCATCTACCTCGCAATTCCTTATTAGTTGACATTCGGCCAAGACAAAACTTTAAAATGTTTTCTTTTTCCCTAAGTATATTTTCCGGACTTAATAAACTTTCGGCTAATTTGTGCAGAAGTATAAAAAAAGGAATAACATGCTCGTAAATCCTAAATCTGTAGCTGTCATCTGGCTGTTTTTTGTCTTCTCCTAATAACGATAACACTGCCAATGCGTCTGTCTTGCTGCCAAAAATCACTGGGGAATCTTCATCAACAGTCGCTTTCGCCGGCAGTTCATTTTGTCCCTTGAAGATAACATCCCTTGCCCTCTTTATTGCCCACCCAGCATGGTCCCGAATAGTGTCATTGTCCTGGTTTGCATCAATATAGCTTGTAGTTGCAGGGAGTGAATCCACATTCGATATATCTACTGTTGCATCTTGAGTATTGGCACTGGTGAACCAGAAATGCTGGAGAATTTGCTGCAGTATTACATACACTGAAGCAGAGCTGAGCTGTACGTTTTGACCTGAGCAAAAAATTAACTTTTCCCACGATTGTTTTACCGCCAAGTAGTGGATGCCATCGGATCTATTTCGTGAAAACGTTCTCTCGAGTGCTACTGCTCTCTGAACAACTGGTACATCTTCGGTCTCGTGAAAACAATCTTGAACGAGTTTTAAAACACTTTGTATAAAATCATCGACAACCTTAGTTTTACAGGTGTCAAGCAAAGCTTGCAAAACCAATGATATTACAATTCGCTCATTCGACATTGATTTGTAAACTTTGTCAAGCGTTTCGAGCAGAGACTTCAAAACATTTTTATTTATACCTGAAAGTATAGTAGAAAAATCTGCTAAAGAATTGTACGGCAATGGATTTTTTTGTTCATTCTCATCAATATTTTTTTCGAAAGCTTCCTGCTCAAGCGTACCCGCCATTTTGTTGTTAACAATGTCGCCATGGCAACAACAACAACGGACTCGTCACCATACCTCTGCATCACACATCGATCAGCGCTGCAATAGCCGTTGCACCGCCCTATATATAAGCGCCCTGCTAATGAGCATCACACGTAGCACGGTCATTTATTAGCGCGTTTCCCCGCCCGTGTTTTATAGCGCCCTGGTTACACTCAAACATTAGCGTTTCGTAATACAGTTACACCCAGGGCGCTTATTAAGCGCCCCCCTCTTGCGCCCCCCCCCCCCAAAAAAAATATTTTTTCTCCCCCAAACCCAGAGAGTCTGCCACGCAGGCTAGGGACGAGGTTGACAAGTTTTTATATATTTCAGATTCGACAGTTCTTGGTCAACGAGCATGGCCAGATAACGAAATTGGATATACGCATTGTCATTGGCCAATACCCCATCACGTGTTCGGCCGTTTCACTCCCCTCTTTATTTTTTATTATTTCTCCGCCTTATTTTAAATTTCGGATCTTTCTCGGTCGCCCTTCGGAGTATCATCGTGTAACATAAATTAATGTCAAAGATGAACATAAATTATTGCGCCTGCGATACGCTAATACCGCTTTCAACATTCAAAATGGCGGCCGATGAAAATTGAAAACATTTACATGTAATTAAAAGGTTAGTATAAATTTACACAAGTATTTCTGGCGTGCTCCCTTGTCTCAACTTGCTGGACGCGGATATTTATAGGGATATACTTTATTAAAACGGGCTAACAACAGCAACAATGAAATTCTCAATCGTACCACGAAGAAGGCGATGTAGCTCACAAAACAACGCCGGTAGGACCTGATATTAAAAATAAGACTTTTGCCGGCGAAGCCAGTTGGCAAAACATCTTGGCTGTCAACAACAAGCTTTCGAATACATGACTAGTTTGGCTGTTCTTTCGGCGTCGTGTGTCCAAAATTCGTCCAAAATTTTGATAAAGCCCTTTCAAAATACTGTTTGTTTGATTTATTTTCTGCCATAAAGCATAAAAGAAAAAGAAATTCGAAGAAATCGATAATGGAATTTGTACGTGCGTTTGACCTTTATATTAATTGTTGCCTTGACCGAGCTATTTTTAAAACTGTTGTTTATGTAAACTTGCAACCAATCAAAATCCTTCATGATGCTGATCAACCAATCAGATTTCCCGTCCACCAGGTGGACGGGAATCCCACACTTTAGATAGGTTTTGTGTCAGGCCCTATTCTGTAGTGATGGGCGATACCAGCTTTTTTGGTTTCGATACGATACCAGTCCGATACCATGAATTTTGGTCGATACCGATACCAAAATCGATACCGATACTCAATTTTTTCCATTAATTAAAATAACTTTTAAAACAAGAACATTAATGTTTAAAACAAGTCAAAGAATACTCTAACTGGAGTACCTGCCAAATAATCGAACATAACATTTGCAATTATGATTTTAAATCTAAACACCAATGTTTTCCTCAAATATATTGCTAATTAGCTACATGTTTTTGTTTAAGAACAGCATCATGTCAACATTTTTTGCCTTCAGGGGCCTTCAGTCTGTTGCCTTCATGAAGTATTTATCGATTGTTCAGCAATACTGACCAAAAACATCGCAGGCTCAAGTGGTATCGAATTACCGATACTTTTTGCGAGTATCGAAAGTATCGATACTTTTGTAAGTATCGATGATTTCGATACTTTTTCGATAGTATCGCCCATCACTACTATTCTGTGATTAGGGCCTGAACTTCAGGTTAGGTTAGTCGAAAATGGAAATTTGAACTTTTGACAAACAAAGTTCGTCGTGTGTCGCGGGAATTGCCGCAATGGTGAAGAAACCAAGTTCTTTCGAAAGAGGAACGTTCGTGCTATTAGACGATGTGAAATTTATTGCTCTGCGACGATTCTGAGGCGAGATATTGGACTCGATGTCGGAGGGTATATCAGATAAGTGGCTAGCCTTGTAGTTATTTATGTCCTAGTATGGCCATGTCGTTCAGTGCCAGTACTGACGACCGTTCAAGTACGACGAAAACGTAAAGCAATCGCATCAACTAGACTCAGAAACACAACAAATGGATTCTATTAATTTTTACATATATTGTTAATATTTTTTGAATTATTTTGTTATTTTAAAATATTATAACGGTTAAATATTCAAAATATATAGGACGTTCAGAGATTGGGCCGCCTGTGCTTCTACGGCGACTATTACGGCGAGATATTTAGACACGCTTTCTACAATGACTATGTAGTTTTAGTTTTATACCGAGTAAAATGTTGCTGCAAAAGCGTTTTCAACGTCTTTTCGTACTTATTTTGTCATTTTTAGGCTTAATTAATTGAAAATAAATTTCAGAAATAAAGCACTTTTAACAGTATATTGACAAAATTACAAATTCTATTTTTGGTGTTTGCATACGCCGGTCATATATTTCCGGTTTGAATCACATGATGCATTTTATCGTCTCTTAGCCCTCTTTCAATACCAAGGGCCTGATACTCAGTTTAGTTTTGACTTTTGAACTTTAATATGTTCACGATCAAAGGTTTCTAAAGGTTAGGCAACTTTAGCCACTGTGTAAATAACACAAAGGAGTGTACGTAGCTGTTCGAATATTTCACAGTAAAATTGCACAATGCCAAGGCCAATGATGTAAACTGATAATTGCAAATAAACATCCATCTTAATTAACAACAAATTATATATTTGCACGCGAGTATAAGTTTCTGTTTGTTTTTATAGCTCATATGTCAATTTTAATACGCAATAGTTTGGTAATTTTAGATATCCCCATTTATTAATAGTTCAATGTTGCAATATTCCACCTACTTTACTGCGAGCTTTACTGCGATTAATCGTGTACGATTCGTTATCTGACGTATATGTCAACGAAACGGCAATGAATTATGGCGCCAGCACTCACTTTAATACGCCAGAATACGAATCGTACGCGACTAATCGTAGCGTGTAAAACGTAGCTTAACTATGTATAGAACCAAGGAACTCAATGCACGCCAAATCTTTGACTTTGCCATTGACATTGGACTGAAATTCTATTTTAGCGACCAAATTCACTTGGGGAGCAAAACTTGGGACAGCCAGTGTAAGAGACACCGTAACTTCTGTATCAGCTTTCAGTGGGCAATGGATGTTGTGGTCCTTGCATAAATCGTTGTCAGGAAAAGGGAATGGCAGGGTTGTTTTTCCGAATATAGCATGAAGAATAATCGTTCCATTATTTATGACCGTGTTTGGTGTTAACTTCAAGGTGCCAGTGTACTTTTTACCGGGCGAGATCTTGCAAAGTTCAGCAGTAGAGCCCTCATTACAGTTCAGGTCAAAATTCGAGAATTTGCCTAGCACACTGCCACAGTCTTTAGTGTCTAGCACCAGCGCAGTTGATTTTTCGACTGCTATAGCGCACATCAACAGAAAGAGAAACTTCGAAGCCATATTTTCGAATCGAGACTTAAATTACTTCGAACAGCAGCAAGCCAGCAAGTGTCAATTGTGAATAAAAATGTGTGCTATGCCCACTGCCTGTTACCGTGCAGTACGAGTGGAGTACGATAATCAAAATCATATGATCGTATGATGCGTTTGAAACAGGATAAACTGGGTTACGCAAGAAGTACTCTGGCAAAATCCGCACGTGATGATTAATCCCGTGACTGACTATCTTGTGATTTCGCAAGTAACTTACCGTTTCCCTCCTGACTTTACTCTGTTAGCTGTGATTTCGCAATGCAAAGACATTTGCAATCGCTGATTTTCGGTATTTGGGTTACTCTAAGAAGAAATGTAAGTGATATCTGACTTTAAGGACATTTTAATGATGTTGCTGTATGTTGGAAAGAGACAGATAGTTAAATTAAATCAAACAACTGGCGACTAAGCAAGACAACAATAACTTGAAACACATTTTTGTGGCATATGATTTGGACAGAGAAGTGCTCGAAAACAGTTCCGGCCGAACTATGATAATGTAGAGGCTCTGGCTAACCTAAGTTTTATACGGTCGGCTTTACAGTTTCAGATTCGCAGTTTCAGATTCACATTCAGATTCAAATATGAAAATAGATCAGGTGTCTGGCGTATAAAATGTCGAATTACTCAGTTTCTTTCTACGCAATAAACTTGTTAACGAATTTCATTCTTCTTCAGAACATTACGCATTGAACAAATGTATTTTGAAGGCTTTAGCGCAAAATGTGAAGTCAGGAAAAATCGCAAAAGATAGACGATCAAGACGTGAATTCATGCTGCGCCATATTGTCGCAAGTGATCGGCAATATTATATTTCCCTGTCTAAAGCAAAATACCCGTTGTAGCTCCCTAATCTCTAAAATCCATTCACTACTACATTATACTGAATGGTATAAAGTAAACAAGATCCTGAAAACGTTTGTCGTTTTGTCAGGAAAAATCGCAAAACGTAGCTGACGCGAACCGGCTTTTGTAACCCGAAGCGAATGACAACAACGCAGCTGAGAGAATAAATCCTTCTCACGCATCACACGTTTACATTGAAATATTTTCCAGCAAATCCATTCTTCTACAACTATCTTAGAATGATATAACGCACTCGTTAGCTTCAAACAACTTCTGGTTTCAGCAGGAAAAATCGCAAAAGACAACTCGTTGGAACTCGTGCTGCACTCAAAAATCCGGGTGGCCATTAGAACTCTTTTGCAAGTCCGCTCAGTCTGATATAATGCATTTTTTACTTAATAGTAGATCCATGCCAACATATATAAAAAATTGTAATGTTTAGCCGTATTTTTTTCCGCGGAAAAAGTACGTGAAATCGTTTTATATGTAGAATGATAGAATGACTGACCCCCCGGATTTTATTGTTCCATATTGAAATTTCCCGTAGTTTCACATTCATTTTCAGATTCGCACTAAAACAGTGATAATCTGCACAAATCGCTAAACCACTGCAACAGTTTTAATGCAGCCCATACCGTAAAGATTTTCATTCATCTACATTATTGTGCGCTTCATTTGACGCGGTTTTCATTGCGATACACCGTTGTGTGCGTGCAGGAAAAATCGCAAAAGACAGACGATCAAGACGTGAATTCACGCTGCGCCATATTGTCACAAGTGATCGGCAATATTATATTTCCCTGTCTAAAGCAAAATACCCGTTGTAGCTCCCTAATCTCTGAAATCCATTCACTACTACATTATACTGAATGGTATAAAGTAAACAAGATCCTGAAAACGTTTGTCGTTTTGTCAGGAAAAATCGCAAAACGTAGCTGACGCGAACCGGCTTTTGTAACCCGAAGCGAATGACAACAACGCAGCTGAGCGAATAAATCCTTCTCACGCATCACACGTTTACATTGAAATATTTTCCAGCAAAACCATTCTACTACAACTATCGTAGAATGATATAACGCACTCGTTAGCTTCAAGCAACTTCTGGTTTCAGCAGGAAAATTCGCAGAAGACAACTCGTGTTGGACTAAAAAATCTGGATGGGCATTGGAAGTCTCCTGCTGGTCCGCTTAGTCTGATGCAAGTGCATTCAGTTTTCATAATAGTGGATCTATGGCAGCATATTTAAAACTAGTGACTTATAATGCTTGGCCGTATAGTTTTCACGGAGAAAGAGTTTGAAATCGCTCTGTCATGTGTAATAATATGAAGGGATTTGAATGTGTGAGCGATTATCTGCTCTTATATATACACTCAAAACCCGGCAAATGAGATCTAATTTATGCAACCTAAAGCAAAACAAAAACCAAGACCATTCAACAGGAAATTGGCCAAACGAAATGTTACCCACTTTTGCAGAAAAAGCCTTACTCGGCAAAAATTGTACGAGGATTTTTGGAACATTTTTTTTTTATTTTTGAATTTTTTTTATTTTTAGAGACTTTTTATTTTTTGATTCTTTGGTTTTTTGGACACATGCATCTTTGGGACGACGCAAGTTAAGCTTATATATAGCCTTTAAAATGTCGTTGTAAAAGACAATAAAGTTTATTATGTAACATTATAATTAGATATTTAAATCTTGATATTCATTGGCTTATGTTTCATGGGGTTGGGTGTCATATCTCGCCATGTGCTCGTATCTTGTACGGACAACATGCAAATATCTATGAGGTTGTAATTATAACATTGCATTATTTCTAATAAATAACTGTACACAAAGCAAGCATTCCATCGTTTTTATATGGAGCCCGATGGAATATCATGAAAATCATGAGTAAAAATTCGCTGTATCAGGTACGTGCGTTTTAAGTCGTAGACAGTTAACTGACTTAACTGGCAAGTGTCTTTAAAGATAGCGTGTCGGTGAACTCTGTTATGACATTTGTTACCAAGGATAAGGTAAATTTTTATTATATTCGCTAGTAGCTACAAATCCCAACAATTATTTTTAAGGTTTTTTAACTTGTTGCCTTATTCAAACAGTCGACGTCTATAACTGTGCGGGTTCACGCACACGAACAGTCTTGTTCTATTAAGAACACTACCTCGCGAGCTTTAACCTGGAGAAAACTGCCCAAACATCAAAAGCAGGTACAGTTCAATTCATTACTTTTTCTGTAGTCAGTCTACTTTTCCCATCTTTTCATACGCCATGTCATTCGGTATAGCTATATGCATTATAAAATTATTATTATTACTAGAAGTTACTATCGCAAGGGAAGTGCTGCCTTACGACGCAAAGTCTTAGGGATTGATTATACCAAAAAACTTAATTTATTTAAATTGCCTTATATATACACTGTATGTATGAATTTATTTTGTTTAATAGTGCAGTAATTATTATATACTGTAAACTGTACTTCGGATTTTCATATTTACACATGTTATTGTTGGTACCAATGTTTTAAACCGTCTTCACTTGTCAAAACGTCTAAAAGAACACAATTACGAAGAACAAAAAAATGTCTTTTGACGTGATATGATTAGTTTGTTGCAAGTTTTCACATTCTTTCCAAGTAATAATAGTCTACTGTACTTTCCAATTGGTAAACAAGACAGTGAGATTGATGGGTTTTTTGTCCAATATGCAGATGTTTCGTATTTATTTAGCATGTACAGGTAGTGTCCATTGTTGGCCATCATATTGTCCAATAACTTGTCAGGTTACTGTACATACTGTATAAAGGTATGTAATATCTTCACATAGTAGACATTACAATGTTCCTGACATCCATATGGTAGATTGGAAACAAGTACAGTAATTTAATAATACATGGCAGATTCAATATCCCATTGCATTAGATGTATTGTAATATATCCAATCTTGTAAATCAGCATTCTTGTCTAGTAGAAATACATTTCTGTTAATCCAGAAGCTCCTATCCATTTTCATGAGATGTACAGTAATATATCCATATTATATTTTGGCTGTAACAACCACTTGGTTTCATCCAGCAGTTATCATGGCACCATTCACATCCGTCGGAATTGCAAAACTATAGAAAAAAATAATTGGTAGCATGAGATATTTATGTGGAAGCATACTGGCACATAACTGAGTGAAAATAAAAGTATGGCAGGGGGAGGGGTTAAACAAACAAAAAAACTTACCCTTCTTCTGTCTTGCAAATCATAATATTTTCATACATACAGTCATAACAAGGAGTAAATTAGTTATTATATAATACATTAAATAATTTAAAAGGGTATATAGTCAAACTACATACCAAAATATAACTGGGATTCATATATGAAATCCCTCTCTTATTCAAACTCCATAGCTTGTTGTTCAAAATGCACTGCTGGTAGCCTGTGCTAATTGATCTAGCCTGTTTTCTTCTTCAAGCCTATATTGTAAGTTAGCAGATGATTTCAAGCTTGTTAATCGTTCATACGTCATTGGTTCAATGACACAAGAGGCAAGTGATTTTACTCTGCTAATAGCAACATAAGAAACCCCAGCAGTTCTTTCAGATTTGCCAATATCTATCCATGCTTTTGGAAGTGTAAGTCCTTGGCTCTTGTGTATTGTTAGAGCCCAAGCAAGTCTAAGAGGTAACTGTTGCCTCTCATGGAAACCTATTTCTGTCTGTGATGTGACAGTGATTGGATATATTGGGATACACAATGGTCGGCTTTCATTAAAAACAGGTCCTCTATAGTTTTCAAATTCTACTATTACCGCAATAGGTAAGTCGGGTGGTTGATGGTTGTTCTGATAGATAATATCAACAACTGTTCCAGTAGCCCCATTGCAGAGGCCAACACGTGACCACAAATTCATGGTTAACATGACCCTAGCACCTTTTGCTAGAAACACAACAGGTTCTAACCCAGACATATCATCTGAGGATATCTTTTTTGGCCAATGCTGATGAATGGCGAGCATTAATATGAGCCACTGGATGTTCAAGTTTTGTTAGCTGCTCATGGTTGTAATTACCAACTTGTTCATTACTATAAAAGAGTCTAGTAGAATCTTCAAAGTCACATAAATTAGTAACATTTGATGGTTGACGTGTCAGAAGTAACTTCCAGTCATCAACTGTCGAGTCACCTTTGCGAAGTCGTAATAACAAATCTCTGAACTGTACCTGCTCAGATGTCATACCTTGCACACGTTGATTTACAGTGAGTTTAACAACTTTGTCAAACATATGATATGCTTGATGACCTTGTTCACCAACAGCATTTGATGGTCTAGCATGGTAAAGAGGCTTATCTGCTACTGGTGGCAATTGACCTGGATCACCAGTTAAAATCAACGATTTTCCTCCAAATACTTTGTCATTACAACCAGTTGCTTGTTTGCAACGCTTGTCTATCCAACCAAAAGTAACTTGGCCAAGCATAGAGTATTCATCAATAATGATGTATCCAATGTTATTAACACTCTCTTGTAACCTACACAAGCTTTGTCCGGTTAGGTCTTTATTACCTCTTGATCCTACAGGTAATTTTAATAGAGAATGCACAGTTACACCTCTAATGTTAAAAGCTGCTTTACCTGTGGTAGCAGCAACAGCACATTTACTTTGCAAAAGATTTCTAATAGCATTAATAAGGTAACTTTTACCAGTTCCTGCAACACCATTTATTATGAGACATAATGGCTCTTTATCAGATGATGTATCATCAAAATGAGACTTAACAATGTCATAAGCAAGTTTTTGCATTTCACTGAAACTGTTGATGTCAACAACATCATATTGCTCATCAATAGTGTATTCCTCTTTGTTTGTTTTTATCCATGTTGGCATTTCTTGGATTTGTTGTTCGGAATAATTGGCTCTGTCAAGATGCCAGTCATATGTGGACTCTGGTGTTTGTTCAGAGTTGTCAAAAGGAGTGTTGAGGTCTGATAATATCATCCACTCTTCTCGAGTTGTCCCCTGTTCTTCAGAAGGTTCATCTTCTGCTTCTTGACTTTGAATGACAGCTTGTAATTTATCAAACCAGTCTGGGACATTAGACTGGCCATAAGGCGTTTGTAAAAATTCATGCCAACAATTCATCAGAACCTCGTCAGTTGGTTCTTGGTCACCCCATGCATTGTTTTGGGTTGTTCTCCACGGTTTATACCTCAAAAGTTGATATTTACAATATAGGCCAAAATTTGGACCTTTGGGATTAGGAGAATATGTTGGAAATATTCGTGGTATAATATTCTCTGGCAATTTTGTCAATTCATTGTTAACAACTTTGTATGTTGTAGCAAATTCAACAAAGTTCATATTTATTATATTTTGCGAACTCTCATATTGTTCACGATTAGCATACACATCAAGAAGTGAATAATCGGTGCACGATTCACCCTCATCAATACTTGCACTATCACGCACTCTACGTGAACCATTTAGACTAACTGACATCACTTTAAAGGATGAGCTGTGGAGTTTTAAAGACAATAAATGATGCATTGTCTCTTGAGCTGCATAATCTCTTTCACCAAGAGATTTCATAACTACCTTCTTAATAACTCTACGAGGGTCAGTATTACTGTCGACATTTTGCACAATAGAATTGAATGCCTGTTTCAATATAGGTGATCTTGACTCACCTTTAGCTGCATATTTTGTGAGATATTCAACACAAGCATAGTGATCAATAACAACTTGAATATCACAGTTAGCTCTCCATCCTTGGAGCTGAAGGTGTTGGTGGTTATTTAACCTCGAGTCATTTCGTTTAGTCACAATCTTAGCTCGATAATGCTCATTATCACCTGAAGTATGAATTTTTTCAAATTCTAATTTTGTCTTAGGACAAGTATCAAAAGGGAAATGAAATCTACATTTCAACTCTGTTTCATTTGACTTTTTTCTAAGACAATAACTTGTACTACAACGAGTATGTCGTTGAACCATGTTTAACAGATCTACATAATCTGATTGTTTTTCATGTTCAGGAATGTCATGACGACTTCTTTGACATGGATGAACCCCAGGTCTTATCCACATGTCCTCATCTGGTGGATTAGGATTGATGGTTGATAATAACCAATCAACATACTGACATACTGTGTCAGCTGCTTTCTGACCAGCTTCAATATCCTGGTCTAGTTCAGTTGTGTCAGAACAATCATTTTCATCTTTAAATTTTTGAGCTAAGAAACCTTTCAAAGCAGTCTGAGTAAGTTGACACAAACCTGGGTCATTATTTAGTTTAGCAGTACCATGACAATGGATACTACCTCTACCTTGATATTCATATCGAAACCAGTGCCATTTTGCACCAAGTGTATCATAAAGCCAGTGTTTTACAAAGCTTTCTAATCTTTGCGTGAAAAACCAATCTACAACATGGGGATTGTTGATCACATTTTGTCGCCTTACATCACTGGTAGAATTATCTAACTCATTGTCAGTATCAGCTTTAAATAAAGCATGCAACTCAGGCCAATGCATATCTGCAGAGGAGAAAGTGAAAAATAATGTTGGTGCTCCAACACTAGTTATGATAGCTTTGAGTTCCTCTCTTACTCTATTCCAGTAAGCATTAGTACCTGCAATATTGCCAACATATCTCGACACTTTTGACATAAACACATTAGCATCGTTACTGGCAGCCATTTCACGCAGTTCATCAATTGTGAGATGAGCTTCACCTGGATTCTGTTTGAGGAATATTCCACTTTGTTGTAAAATTCGTTTTCTTTGAATCATATTAAAAGCCCAATATGAAAATCTGGGGTGGTTAGCAAAACGGTATACCCATTTACCATCAATAATTTCAGCAAATTTTAGAAGATGCTTTATTCGTTCCTGAAGAGGGACATCTCTCAGAAGTCCTTGATTAGTAGGATCACCTTTCCCATCTGGAAATAAAGTTGGGAAAGCCATTGTGGCCAGATGTGACACCTGATACTCGTTTATTGGCTCATTTTCAACCGAGGGCCACTGCATTGGCTCATTTTCAGACAGCTGATTTCTAACAGCTTCAATTTCCTGTTGTTGTTGTTCGCCAACAGGTAAAAAACTACTCATTTCAGTAGAGTCATTATAAACAATATCCTCGGATGGATTATCAGTAGGAGGACCTACATCAGGAGAACAATTGTCATCTGAGACTATATCATCATCAGTCTCAACAGTCATAAGATCTGGTGGTACACCATTTTCAGGTAAGGAATTTAATGCATCTTCATTAATTAATAACTCAGAATAATGTGGATTGTTATTGATAAGCCAAACTAAAGCACTGTGCACTTTTTGCTTTCGCACGGTCACATCTCTGAATGTGTTTTCTCTACCTTTAGCCTTGACAATAATCACAGCTAAGTCTTTAGGATATCTTGGCAAAGACATTGCAAGTTCTTTGACATTTTGTGGCAGGTTTATACAATGCCCCGAATAACCTCGTTGACCACCAGGTTTAATATAAACTCTCATGATGGGCAAAGCACGAGCAATTAACATTTCCTCAATCTGAGTTAAATTTTGCAGTTCATTTGGAACACATGAAGGTATCATTGAATTTTGACAAGAAAATTTTTTTGGAGATTTTTTATCTCTTGAGCATCGTAAACACACATAAGGTGTATTTGGCTTTGATTTTAAAGGCCATGCCTCCTGACATACTGTACACTGCCTGACAATGTATTGCACAGACTTATTAAACTTATTAATGTTAGCCTTAGCCCAACATTGCTCTTCAATACCACCATTATTTGTTTTGTCAAACATATTTAAATAATCCTGTTGATTTAATATTTCATGTTGAGGCTGCAACACTTTTTTTGCCCGCTTTTGTTTTTTATTAAGTCTATCTTTCTCGAGCCTCATTTGTCTCTCGCTGTCAGTTTCCTCTGACCGCTTTCTTTTTTTAGACTCACTATCCTTTTGAAGCCTAATTTGTTTTTCATTCTCAGTTTCCTCTGAGCGTTTCTGTTTAATAGACTCACTTAATTTTTGAAGTCTTATTTGTTTCTCACTGTCAGTTTCATCCGACTGCTTCCTTTTTTTATACACACTAGCTTTTTGAAGTCTGATTTGCCTCTCTTTGTCAGTTTCCTTTGACTGCTTTCTTTTATTATACTCACTAGCTTTCTTAAGTTTAGCTTGTTTATCGCCTTCATTTTCTGCTAAAAGCCTCTTTTTCTGGACATACTCTTGATCCTTTACACAGTCATTTTTTTGCTCTGCAGCATTACATACATTTAATCGCACAGGTACAATTTCAAATAAATTGGCATGTAATGTCATTAAAAGAGAATACAAATATTGTTCTAATTCTAGAATATTAGCAAATTTCATGACAACAGAAGTGCCATTAGGATCAGGCATGCCATTAGAGTCTCTGGCATGGGAGTCAAATAAATAGAAAAAATCTGCTTGCTTCATCAATGCCATCATATAGCCTTCTAATATTAAAATAGTATAACTATAATTTGAAAACACATTTAAAAGTGCTGTGTGAATATCATAGTAGTGCGACTCAACTTCTCGTCTGGTTATAATAAGACCTTGAAGCTCTTTTCCATAATTTATAAACCAAATTTGGTTTTCATTGTTTGCCTCATTAGACACCACAGAATCGTGTTCTAACTCAATGGATAGATCAGTGTTAGTTTTTGCCACAATAGGCTCTGCCACGGTCTTTTCCATAATTTATAAACCAAATTTGGTTTTCATTGTTTGCCTCATTAGACACCACAGAATCGTGTTCTAACTCAATGGATAGATCAGTGTTAGTTTTTGCCACAATAGGCTCTGCCACGGTAGGCTCTGCCACAATACGAAGTTTGCTTTTGTTTTCTGCCTCAATGGGCTCTACCACAATGGG